TCCTGGCTAGAGATCCTGGCTAGGCTGCTGATCAACTGAACGCTGTCTCCGTGTCATTCCTTCTTTGCCGACTCCGTCCACACCTTGGGGAACCCCTGGACCTGCTGGGGATGGACCCCAACATCTGGTGCCTGAACAGGGACCCTTAGGTAAGCCCCCCATTCCCCTAGGAAAGCCCCACTCTCAGGATGGATAGGACTCCACCGTAGGAAGAGGGTGGATAGTCTTCGCCGACTCCGTCCACACCTTTGGGAACCTCTGGAACAGGATTCCCCTAGGTAAGCCCCCCTCCCCATTGAGAACCCCCACACTCGGGACGGATAGGACTCCACCAGGGTGCTGCAGACCCCCCTATAGAGGATAAGTAGGGTAAGAAGGTGGATAGTACAGAATTTAGATTGAGAAGATGTGCCATACTGAGTCCAAAGAAAGAAGACTCTGTATTGATCTTTAGATTAAGAAAATGTGCCATACTGAATCTAAAGAAAAAAGACTCCATATTGATCTTTTAACACATATACTTGCTAGCAGAGGAGTTAAGTTTACACCCAGTCAGACGGAACGTTTTATACAAGAAGTATGTCCATGCTTTTCTGAGGAAGGAAAGGTAAATGTAAAAGCATGGGAGAAGGTAGGCCCAAGGAACCTTATCCTTAACCCCACTGCAGCCTTTCCACCCCAGGAAAGTGCAGGATTGGCAAGCTCTCCCTGGGGTGATAGATCAGGACTCAGGTAATAGCGGAAAGCGCCAATCCTACTCTTAAAATGGATACAAGAGAGCATTTGGGGTTTTTCTTTTTAATGCCTGCTTTGGATTGAGTAAATGCATTACGTGCGTCACCACAATGGATCCAGAGAAGCTCCTTGTCTCATCGTTCCAAAGACTTAGAGTTGCCCCGATGACAGAAAAGCAGAAAAAAGAAGAAAAGGAAGGCTATGCAAGGGACTGAGGTGCCAACATAGGATCAGCTGAAGAAGTTAACAACTGAGGCCCAACAGATGGTAGAAAAGCAAGAAGAGGAAGCTACTCTTTCAGCCAAGTCCGAGGACTCTGAGTAAATCAGCAAAAGAAACTTTCATTTAGCAAAAACTCACTTATTTCGTCAAATGGAAAGACTTACTTACAGGAGCCTGGAAGGGACCTGATGTACTTTTAACCTGGGGGAGAGGAGATGCTTGTATATTTCCACAGGATGCAGACTCACCTGTGTGGATTCCAGACCGTCTAATCCGACCTTATGTCACACCACCCTCCATCTCCTCCTCATCCTCCTCCTCCCCGGTATCATCCATATCGTCCGACCCAGAGGGCACAGCTGACTCCTCCCCGGACACCGACACCACCATCAAGCACGGCCCTGATGGACCCTTTGATGCAGCCCTTCAACTCGCTGACGCTTCGGGAAGCCCGTCGCCAATGACGCTGCCCGCTAGCCGGATCAACAAGGACAACCAAACCACCAACTTGAGGACAGCTGAAATCCCTTGACTACAGAGGCCAGCAACCTTCTACAGGAACAAGGCTCCTTGTGCACTCCATCCACTATGTTTATGGCTATGCCCGCTATCATTGCTAAAAAAAAAAAAAAGAAAGAAAGAAAATAAAAGAAAAAAAAAAAGAATGGCTTTAAAGGGATTCCTTCAGGTTGAAAGGAAAGGATGCTAGTGAGTAACTCAAAGTTATATGCACAAATAAAGACCCCCAGGAAAGGGAACTATTGGACAAAGATAAAAGCCAGCTATAAAAAGAAATGAATCCATATTTCATGCCCTGCATAATTTAAAGGACAAATGCAGGAAAAGAATTATAAATATTTATTACTGGGCACACATGTGTAAAGATGTACCGTGACACCAACAATGTAAGAGGTGGGTGGCAGATCTATATCAAAGTAGGATATTGTATGCTAATGAGGTTAAGATGGTATCAATACAAACGACATTGTTATAAATTTAAGATGTTAGATATAATCCCCATGGTAATCATGAAGGAAATATCTAGAATATCCTATATTATAAAGATGTAATATGCAAATGGTCGTTATGTAACAACCAGATCATGGATCAGCAGGAGGGTGGGGCAGCGAGCTACAAGCAGGTGGCGGAGAGCTACAGGAGGGTCAGGGCAGCAAGCTATGAGGGGGAAGCGGGGGGGAGGGGGGCAGGGGGAGCGACAGGAGGAGGGTCCTGGATTGCGAGAGGGCACAGGCCAGGCTGAGGGACCCCACTGGTGCACAAATCTGTGCACCAGGCCTCTAGTTATTTCATAATGATATATGATCTTTTGGTCCAATATGTTTGGCAACCTTCCTAGGGTTTGAATTTTAAGAGACTTTTTCTTAGCCTAGAAATGGCTTTGGGTATTTCTGGTGGGCCCCTGGAATGTCTCAAGGATTTGTTCTTTCTCCTTCTGAAGGAGAAATTTAAAACTAATCAGGCATGTTTGATATGCTTAAAATACATGGGAAGCTTGTCAAATAAAGAAATAATTGCTACGTTTTATTTGTATATACATATTATTAAAATGAATAGCCTAGAAATTATATAAAAATCTCCAAGGGTCTACAAATTCTGATATACTTTCATTCATAACTCTGATTGTTATTCTGGAATGTTGTGTCTTACGAAAAGGACAGAGTTCCGTGTCAATTGCATTATAATCAGATCTATAATCATGTCATTTTAAGGTTGTTTTTTGTCATTTAGAGACAGTATTATTTTGTTATAATACATTTACAAAAATGTTACATCTTCTGAAAAATCCATGGAAAGGACTCTGGCTTATTTTAAATTACATGTCTCTAAGTATACATGTTCAGATCATACCCTTAAACTGGACAAGGATAACTAAAACTCTATGGAATGTCTGAACTTATGAAAATACTTGCAAAAATCCAGAGCAACAAAAACTGGTTTTGGGACTGAATGAACTGAAAATAATTGTAGTTTTGGTAACTTTTTGTTGAAAATATTGCTGATTTTTGATCTTTCTGTTTTCCAGGCTTAAGAAAACTTGCTTCTTTTCTTAAAGCAATTTGGTAAATTATACTTTCATAAACAATATTGAGGCACTTATATTTTTCTTTCTACCTGATCCCTCCCTAATTTGAAAACTTTTAATAAGTGAGTATTATTAATCTCATGGCTATATATTTGTTCACATAAATCCAATAAGAATCTGATTACTTTTTTTTTTTAAATATATTTTTATTGATTTTTTACAGAGAGGAAGGGAGAGAGATAGAGAGTCAGAAACATCGATGAGAGAGAAACATCGATCAGCCGCCTCCTGCACATCCCCCACTGGGGATGTGCCCGCAACCCAGGTACATGCCCTTGACCGGAATCGAACCCGGGACCCTTCAGTCCGCAGGCCGACGCTCTATCCACTGAGCCAAACCGGTTTCGGCCTGATTACTTTTTAACAGGACATAAACCAGTTTCCAATTATGGTTTTATTAACCAAGACTTTGACTGAAATGTCATGTCTGAGAGAGAACGCCAGGAATCTGGATGTCACCAGAAAGCTTTAAGAAATGGGGACTGTTTTTAAAGTTGGTAGAAGCCCCTGGGATAAACGTCCTGGTACCTTGCTTATTCATATGGTTCATGGCAGTCTTTCTTGGTAAGGAGCAAGGGTTGCTTTCCTGGGAGTTGGCAAAGAAAGAACCTCAAGACATTTGGGGGCCTCAAGAACTTGAGGAACGCACCCTAACCTATAAGTAGCCCAAGCAAAACCAGATGGCAACATTGTGGCTTGGCTTCTGTACCCTGAGGGGTTGACTAAAAGTCAATCTATTCTTGTGTTTATGCAAATAATTGATCAGGGTTAGCTAGCTAGTTTAATTAGGCAGACAGGAGGGGGGTCCAGGAAGGACAGAGGTCTCTTTGGCCTGAGCAATTAAAGCAGCCCTGACCTGAGCAGCTGGGAGAGCCATAGCGATAATAAAACACCTTCGGCCAGGACAACGGAGAAAGAACCCTAAGGGAGAGCAAAAGCAACTCCACCCTGAACAGATAAGATGGCTATGTGAAGGGCACCACGTGGGCTTTGAGCTTTGAAACTAATGCTATGGAGCAGAATGACCAATGAGGAAAGCATGGGGGCCCCTAAGTAAGGGAAGAAACCAATTGGAAAAGGCCATGTTCAGACAAAGAGCTACAGCCTTTATAAACCCGGAGACAAAGAGAGATTCAGATTATTTAGATATTTCCCCATTAGAGAGAGAGAGAGAGAAAGAGGGAGGGAGAGCAGGCCTTTTCCAGTTGGGGGCCCCTCCCCAGGAGGTCCCGTTTGGGGACATCCCTGCCCAGATGGAGTTTGTATATGCTTCCAATAAACGTCTACATTTTTACTAAAGAAATCTATTAGTCCACGAATTTATTCTTTAACTTTGTTGGACAAGAACCCACGAGAAGAATCTGCCCCCCAAGCCCCAGGTTTCATAATCAGGCCAAATTAAAACTAGATTTAATGAAGTCTCTAATAAAAATGACAGCCATTTTAGGGAGAAAAATTGTGTTTTAATGGAAATCACAATACAGTTGATTGTCTTCAAAGTTTAAAGTTTTGTTTTTAACTGTGAACTGAACTGGTTCCTGAATCTTCCAAATGTCTTCAACCCTCCAAGTTAATGTTTCATTTTTTTCTCCCATCCTTTGAGTTGGAGTAATTGAGAGCTACTGATACAATGTCAACCATAAAGAATCTATGAGCACCTGATGACGTCACCAGAGATATTTAAACTGCAGATAAAGAGGATCTATCAGATTGTCACTGCTTGCTTTCATTCCAGCAAAAGAAACTTTAACCCTTCTTGACTGACAGTCTTACAAACTCAGAAACTGGTTTATAATTTGCTCTGATCATTAACCTTTGTGTTTTTCTTCTGTTTTCATAGGCAGACCCCTTATTAAATACCTGGGTACTGTTTACACAATGTAGGTCTCACTTTGAAAGCCCATCTGCATCACCACCTCCTGAAGTGAGACTCAACGATTTAACAAAACTGACTAATTTTCAGGCTAAATAATTAAATCAATGAAATATGGAGCAATCAATAAAGATGATGATGCTTTGGGGACTCCAGCCTGTCCCTCCTTTGGGAGAATCAGCTAACAGCCTCTGTTCCAGTCTCTGAACATTCCCTATGTCCCTCAGGTAGGCAGGGAGAGACATCCACACCCTGTAGAGGCAGGGCCACAGCCCTTGTCAGCAGGAAGCAGTTACTAAAGACAGACCGTTCGCCCTCCTCACCCCTAAGTGATTTCAGGGACTGAAGTCTGTCTCTGAGGAGGGAGGGAGACAGGCAGTCCGGGACTAATGCACTTCAGCAGCACTTTCCATATGAAACCAGTCCCCTAGGTCTGCGATTTGATACTAACGGGGAAAGGATAGGGGTAGGGTATGCAATAAGAACAGAATCATAGTTGATTAATGGCTATTCACTGCACTAACTATGAGATTTTTCTTACAGATTCTGGGAAACTGTGGAGGACGTGTTGTAAGAAGACAAACAGAGTCATAAAGATAAATTGACCTTGAAGTCCAGGTGGCTCCATCACTCAGAGAGAAGGTACATTTTGAGAGCAAATCAAGGACAAGGCATGCTGAAGGGGGGACGTCTGGGGGCCGACCTTCGCGAGGACAATGTTAGAAAACAGACCTGGATACTCACACAGGTGTAGGTTTTTCCCCCACCCTCAGCCCAGTGGTTCTCAACCTTCCTAATGCCGCGAGTCTAGCCCTATATAATGGCTGGCTTGAGATGAGATGAGATGAGATGAGATGAGATGAGATGAGATGAGATGAGAGAGCGGTTTTTCAGGGTATTATACCTGCCGGATCGCCAGCATCTGAATAAAATCACCTCAAAGATTCAACCTTGTCTCTACTAGTTGACTCTGATGTGTCAGGCAGCCGACCGTGGTTCCAGTTTCAAACCTGAGCTCTCAAAGGAAGCAGAAATGTCCCTTAGCCCAAATTAGCTCGCCCAATAACAGCCTGTACATAAAATGTGGTTTCACATTCCAAGCTCACGCAACTGTAAAGCTGAAAGAGAAATTTCCACCATAGTCTTAGGGCATATGCCCAGCTCACGTGGGGACAGGGGGATTTTTAAAAAATTGACTTGAGAGAGAGAGACATCAGTTTGTTGTTCCACGTATTTATGCATTCACTGGTTGACTCTTGTATGTGCCCTGACCCAGAATAGAACCTGCAACCTTGGCCATCTCAGGACGATGCTCTAACCCAGTGATGGCGAACCTATGACATGCGTGTCAGAGGTGACACACGAACTCATTTTTTTGGTTGATTTTTCTTTGTTAAATGGCATTTAAATATATAAAATAAGTATCAAAAATATAAGTCTTTGTTTTTCTATGGTTGCAAATATCAAAACATTTCTATATGTGACACGGCACCAGAGTTAAGTTAGGGTTTTTCAAAATGCTGACACGCCGAGCTCAAAAGGTTCGCCATCACTGCTGAGTCTAACCAACTGAGCTACCCAGCCAGGGCTCTGAGCCTGGGAAAAATCAACTGCCATCACCAGCAGGAGAAGTTTTCTCATCTTCTTTAAAAGCCTGGATGAAATGCAAGAGAGGGGCAACTTCCCACTGAATTACCAACCCAAAGCAGCAGGCACCAGGGACCTCTTGTAATTCCATCGCCTCTAGTTCAGAGACACTGCAGCGAGGGTGGAACGGCCTGGATGCATGTGTAAGAGCAGGCAACCCGATGACCCAAAAGCTCTTTGGTTTAACTTCACAACAGGGAAAAGTGAAGCGCTGTCCTCTTCCCAGTGCACTTTACCCCATTGCTACAAATTCCTGCCAGCAGCCGGCCCCTGGGAAGCAGAGCCCGGCCCCCGGGAAGCAGAGCCCGGCCCCCGGGAAGCAGAGCCAGGCCCCCGGGAAGCAGAGCCAGGCCCCTGGGAAGCAGAGCCAGGCCCCTGGGACGTCTCAGAGTTCCCATTGCAGCGTGGTAGGTAGTTGGCAAGATTGCCTTTCGGATCTGAAGCTGCGGTACTGGCATCCCTGGTCAAGCTCCAACCTTGTAGAGCAGGGGTTTCCCACCCTTTGTATCTCGTGGCACATAAACTAACTAATACAGTTCTGCAGCGCACCAAGAAAATATATATATTGCAGATCTGACCCCCAAAAAAGTATCCTTGTGATTCATTCACACCCAAGGGCTACTGTGCTGGCTGTTGTCATTTTTTTACCTGACAATCGAAGGGGAAAGAGGTCAGCGCCCTGACTAGTCAGGTACTGCATGTTTTTAAACTTCTTTCAGCAGCTGGTTGGAAATCACTGCTGTAAAGGAAGGCAGGTCGGACATAATACAATTCCAATTCTGGGGCTTTACCATGTTTTCGGCCCAAATAACCTGCTGATACAGCCATCATCAGGGCATCCAGCTCGACGACCCCCTCCCCCCGTCCCCGCTGCCCCCACATGGCATGGCGATGCCAGTGAGAGCGCCCACTGAGCAAGGACTGCGGAGGGAGAAGGAGGAAGCAGCAGGTACAGCAGCCCCGCACCCTGATCTGTGGGAACCTCGAACAAAGGGAGAAAACGAAGGTGGCACCTCCTGGATCGCAGGGTGACAGGGTGAAGGCGCCGCTGCGTGGGGGCTGCCCCAACGTTATCATCCCTCGGTCACCATCTGAAAGGCCCTCTTCCCCCGGCTGGCTCCTCCAGCCCGGTTCTCTCCGGGGCTGCCACCACAGGGGGCCTTCGCTCCGTGAGACCGCGGGGGCTTTTCGTAAGCGTCTCCAGTGCCCTCGGTGCCTGAGCTCTGACCCCAGATGAAAATTTACAGTATCGTTTCCCACTGAATAACAATCTAAGACACAAGGAAAAATATATTGTAACATATTTTAAATAATTCAGATAGCAGCAGCCCTTAAGCACTCAGCACATGGGTTTGTATCTAAAGAAACAGTGAGCAGAACAGCAAAGCCAGGAGGAATGCAGTCCGCACAGTGGTCCTTGGAGAGGCCGTGGGGGATGAACTTCCCTCTGATGTGACTTCTCAGTCATTGTCGTGGACTAGAACGTAGTTTTTACTTGGTTCATTTTCTTCCTTGGAAAATACATCTTTGAACTCTCAGTTCTTGAAGCCATGGGCACGGCTGACTTGCCTTACCTGCAGACAAATCCCCACGGGGCCTATGAACGATTTGCTTGTGAGCTCAAAAGTCTTACTGGCCCGACTCTCTCCTGCCGCCCTAAGCTCGGACACACACCCGCACCAGGACGCCCGCCAGCAGCACGGCCAGAAGCCCCAGCAGCAGGAGCCCCCGCCGCAGCGCCAGCTGCCTCCCAGTCAGCCTGGCCGGCGGCCTGGGCCTGGGCCTCCGAGGGGCTGCTTCCTGGTGCAGCTGCTGATCCAGCGGGGCTTCGTCTTTCTTCTCAGCGTCTCTCATCCCGGCCTCTCCCCGGCTCCCAGGGCCCCCTGGGGAAAGGAACTCAGTTAGCCGCTTGGCAGGAACTCTCCATCCGCATAAAAGGGACAGGAGAGGTGCGTGTACCGTGTGTTACTAGCGGAGAAGGTGGTTCTGGAAGCAGTTGCTCCACAGAGAAATGAAAGAAATTCCTTCTCAGAGGCCTCTCCATCGCCCACCGCACACCCTGGCCGGCGGCTGCTGCCGCGGGGGCCCAGGGAGCCCTGCCCACCCACCACCTAGGCCAGTGATGGCGAACCTTTTGAGCTCGGCGTGTCAGCATTTTGAAAAACCCTAACTTAACTCTGGTGCCGTGTCACATATAGAAATTTTTTGATATTTGCAACCATAGTAAAACAACGATTTATATTTTTGATATTTATTTTATATATTTAAATGCCATTTAACAAAGAAAAATCAACCAAAAAAATGAGTTCGAGTGTCACCTCTGACACGTGTGTCATAGGTTCGCCATCACTGACCTAGAGGCAGGTGGTGGCTCTGGAAGCTAAAATTCGGAGGAGACTTCAAGGGACCACACCTATGCAATCGTTTCAGGAAGAGGAGAAGGCCAGCAGAGAGGAAAGCCTAGGCAGTAATTCAGGGCCATTCACGTAACTGTAACCAAAGAGGGATGTGACTCCACCCTGAGGGCCGCGCGTGCCCGCAGGATGGGACCCGGACTGGCCTGGATGTAGCCTTGTGACCCTTAGATAGTGAGAGTGAGAACGATTTCCTGAAAGCTTCCCAAGAGGAGAACAAAGGCAGGTCACCTAATGGAGCAAGAACAGACCTGTCACTAAGCATACACGGCGTGAGGATGACTTCGGAGGGAAAACCATTGCAAACAGAACAGTGTCATCTGCACTTACAAATGCTTCTTTGCGAGAGGCCCTGCACATGCGTGAGCCACTGCTCTCACACAGCCATGCGAGGTAGGCTGCTGTCTCCTGCTTTTCACACGTGGTGGGGGCAGAAGACTGGGCCAGCCCTTCCCCGAAGACAATCCGAGAGCTGGCGAAGCAAGCGAACACCACCCCGAAGGCGCCGGAGCACAGCAGTGCAATGGACAGGCAGTCACCAGCGCAAGGCCTGGGCCTGGGGCAGGCGGACCGGCCAGGGAGCTGGCACTTGGGGCCACCTTTGGCCGAGAGTCTCCCTGGAGGAGCAGTTGGAGAGCCCCGGCCCCCCCCCCCGCCCCAGGCGAGCCCTCTGTACTGCAGGCTGGAGCTCTGAAGGGCTGCACTGAGAACAAGCATGAACCAGAAGTAGCCAGCCCTTACAGGGCCACCTCTGGGGGAGCCGGGGGCCGGGGGCGGGGGGATGGGAGGGCCAGAGCTCCCATTTCTGCCACTGCTCTGGACGGCTAGTAAGCAAGTGTTAGAAGCAAAGGGGAACCCTCTCTGGAGACAGACAACACCGTCTTGGGCCTCAAATTACTTGGACAAACACTTTCAAACGCGAAAAGCCTAGAAAACGATCTGCGATTACGAGGCACCTGGGAGACTATGCAATGCGAACAAGATATGGCAGAAAAACAGACTCGACCACTGATTGTGACTGAGCCAACCCCCAAGCTCAAAGCGTTTCCGTTCTAAAGGAGCGAAGGACGAGTGTGAGCGCTGACTGCGGAACCCGGGGAATTGCTAAGCTGACAGAGGAAAACGAGAGTCATCTGCATGGTTTGTCAGAAGCAACAGCCAAGACAATAATCCGCTTAAGGCTCACGTATCTGCCTGGTGAACAGGAAAACCCATTGGAACAAACATGCAAATGCCAGTTTCCCAGATAGGCCAGAGCCCAGGGCCACGGCGCACTAGAACCGCCCTCAGGGGCCGCAGGAGCACCACCACCAGCCCGGGAGTGGCTACCTGCAGACTGGGGTCGTCGGTAGCAGTAGGCTCATGTCCGGAGTTAGAGCAAATGAATCTCAAGTCTTTTACCCCAAATTGGGTGTTTCTTGCCTTATTCAAGTGGAAACTCACAGCAGCAGATGGAGGTGTGGCCCACAGAGGGCCCCAGGACTGCCTGGAGCGGCTGTCCGGGTGCAGCAGCCAGAGCATACCTGGGCCAAGTAGGTCCTGAGCCAGCGAAGTCCCATCCTGGGCCACGGGTCGTCTCATGTTGGCATGTACCTGAGCCTACAAACAAAATGCAAGTGAATCCCCAGCTCTCCACGGTGTAGGGGCCTATCTGACTTGACTACCCAGTTCAGGGAAAGCCCAGCCATTTTCTTTCATTCACATGTAACACTGGAGCTTCTCCTGTTCACACGTGTGGACTCATCTTTCATGATGATTGACATGGGGTCAGTGAGTGGGGGAGGTTGGATGGAAAAGCACAAGATGAGGGGGAGGAGGGGGCCCAAGATCATCTAGAGTTAGCCCCTCTTGCCCTTTATCTCATTCATCCTTCACCGACTTTTCAAACCCCACATTGACCCTAGAAAGTTGGGGAGAAAGGTGCACACATGTATCTTAACAGAATGTTTTGGGGTCATAAAAACAGCATCAGGAGACATGTGATGGCACAGCACCTTTCCAGTTCCAAATTTTGTCCTGAAATTGGCTTGTCAGACGCAAGGGAAGTGGCCCAGCAGGGGATCCCAGGAAGAAAGGAACCCCCCATTTTCCTATTCAATGAATAAACAAAGGGGAATGAGTAAAGCAAGGGTCATCTGGCCCTTCAAGTCTGAATTAGATGCAGATAAAACCACAACAAGAGAGTAAAAAGAATGAGAGCGAGAGAGAAGGGGAGGGGGAGAGGGGAGAGCCGAGCGCACTCTCCTAGGGAGGACCTGGCCGGCCAGCAGTGAGCGCGTTACCTGCTGACAGGCTTTCTCCCAGTTCAGCCGAGCGATGAAGGCCAGGAAGCACGCGGCCTGGCAGATGGTGCAGACAATGATCCCCGCCCACAGACCTGGGTGGGAACAGCGAACGGAGGTTAACTCGGTGGGAACCAGCCTCCTGCGGAGCGTGTTTCTCCCGTCTCCGTCTCAGCATCTGCTTTCACGGCCGAGCTTGAGCCAGAGCCTCTCTCCTGCTCTCTCCTTCAGTTTCCAGAAGGTTCCGGGAGGCCCAGGGCTCCCTGGGCTACCTCTTGGAGTTTTGGATCTCAGAACAAATGTTCAGAATCATGTTAGAAAAGTGACAGTTATAAGAAAAGGAAATTTCCAGGACAAACAACGTCCCGTCTCTAATAGTACTGCCAGACTACCTCGCCCCATTTCATTCAGAGAGGGAACTAACGCTTTAAGCAGACGCGACAGCCGCCTAAAGCGCTGCCGCTCTCTCCCTGGGCGCTTCCTGCAGAACCTACTTGCTCAGGCGCCAAGCTGGCAGCTCTAGGGCAGGTACCTGAGTGACGATGGAGGACGAGAAAAGCCTTGTAGATCCCGAGGTACCATCCATACGCCACCCAATAACCCACACAAGGCCAGAGGGAGACCCGGGGGTGAGGGGAGTTTTGGTCAACAGTGAACTAATGGCATCAGAAACTCTAACAATAGCCGTGAGAGACTAAATATACAGACAAAGGTCAAACCACATGAAAAATAGAACCCTGACCCACAGCCTAAAGCAACCTGTCTTCAACCGACCGTATCTGCAATTAACATCCCAGGACGCCAGCCTGCTCTGCTCCAGTCCGGAGCGAGGCCACACGGCTATTGCTAGGGATAGTCTAGGACAGCCGTGGGCAAACTACGGCCCGCGGGTCGGATTCGGCACGTTTGAAATGAATAAAACTAAAAAAAAAAAAGACCGTACCCTTTTATGTAATGATGTTTACTTTGAATTTATATTAGTTCACACAAACACTCCATCCATGCTTTTGTTCCGGCCCTCCGGTCCAGTTTAAGAACCCATTGTGGCCCTCGAGTCAAAACGTTTGCCCACCCTGGTCTAGGAAGTGAAACAACAACGTCTGCACCAATTGATCCAAAATGACCAGGCCTTGACCAATAACTGACAGCTTCCCGAAATTCTGTCCCTGCTTCCTACTTGGGACCAGCCAGAGAAAACCAAGCACCCACCCCTAACCAACTGCACAAGACACCCCACTTCTAGTCCGCCGGCCTCCACAGGGCACAGCGGAGCCTTCGCTTCGTCCCGCTGCAGAGCGCTCCCTCCCCGCCGCCTGCCTTTAAGTCTCTGCCAAGCACAGTGCAGGCGGCTGGCTGTGCAGAGCAAGCTCTGAATGAGCGGCCTTGGCGTGTCCCACTTGGCTGGTCTTTGGCTCTTTCTGAATCTGGGTAAAGGTAAGGTGGCCAGGCTGGGCTAATGGTTTACAGGGAGGTGCCCAGATTCAGTGCCAAGTACCAATCATTCTCAAATCACACTTTCCAGGTGTGATGAACCTGATATCCTATATAATAAAGAGTAATATGCAAACTGACCCTAACAGCAGAACGACTGGGAATGACTGGTCACTATGACACACACTGACCACCAGGAGGCAGATGCTCAATGCAGGAGCTGCCCCCTGGTGGTCAGTGTGCTTCCACAGGGGGAGCTCTGCTCAGCCACAAGCCAGACTGACGGCTGCCAGTACAGCGGTGGTGGTGGGAGCCTCTCCCTCCTCCTCAGCAGCGCTAAGGATGTCCGACTGCAGCTTAGGCCTGCTCCCCGCTGGCAAGTAGACATCCCCCGAGGGCTCCTGGGCTGCCAGAGGGATGTCTGCCTGCCAGCTTAGGCCCGATCCCCCCAGGGAGCGGGCCTAAGCCAGCAGGTGGACATCCCCTGAGGGGTCCCAGACTGTGAGAGGGCACAGGCCGGGCTGAGGGACCCCCAAAGAGCACAAATTTTTGTGCACCGGGCCTCTAGTTTAGAATAAAGTTGGTGACTAACTGTCACTCCTATAATGGACAAACAGAAGCACATATACATTCAATCTATTGTTCCCAACCTATAGAAACTATGAGCTCACCCTAACCATCTTACTAGTAAACAGAATATAACCAGCTGTCTCTAGCTGTAATTTGCAAGTTATGAATTAGATTTCCAGGAATTTCATGATACACTATTTAAAAGATTGCTGTTTGACCTCACCTAAGAACCCTAAAACCAGATGGTTATTAGAATCCCTGGGCAGAGCCCAGGAACGTGTGTGTTTGAAAAGCCTCCCAGGGAATGATGACGGCCCTTATGATTTGTGGAGCTGCCCACGGGAACCTGCGGCGTTGTGCTGCCCCGAGGGCGCCGTGTGCAGTCGGCGCTACGTGTCCAGTTCTAAGTGGTGGGTCAGAGGTTGGCTGCAGTCCTCCTGCAGAGCCCTCACCTCCCCGGGTCCCAGCGTTTTTTATTGAGATGCAACTGACACTCAGCATTACATTTGTTTCAGGCGCACAACATGATAATTCATCACGTATATATACAGTTCACCCTTGAATAATGTGGTGCTAGGGTCTTATCCGCTGCTGCAAGGGTTCAGGAATCTGGAGAAGGGGCTGTGACGTAAATTAAATAAACTAGACATGAAATATAAATTTGGGGGAGCCAGGGGAGACTTAGCTCTAGTGACTAAGCTCTCTGAATCTCCGGACCCCTGGCTTTTTATTCCCTTACTAGAGGCCCAGTGCACGAAATTCGTGCAGAGGGGGAGGGTCCCCTCAGCCCAGCCTGCACCCTCTCCAATCCAGGACCCCTTGGGGGATGTCTGAAATTCGTGCACAGGGATCAGGCCTAAACCAGCAGTTGGACATCCCTCTCACAATCCAGGACTGCTGGCTCTTAACTGCTTACCTGCCTGCCTGACTGATCTCCCCTAACTGCCCCCACTGCCAGCTTGATCACCCCTAACCGCCTCTGCCTGCTGGCTTGATCTCCCCCAACTGCCTCCCCCTTGCTGGCCAGGTCGCCCCTAACTGCCCCCCCCACCAACCTGGTCGCCCCTAACTACCCCCCATCGCCAGTCTGGTTGCCCCCAACTGCCCCCCTGCCAGCCTGGTTGCCCCTCACTGCCCCCCCTTCCAGCCTGGTCACCCCACACAGCCTGCTGTTCAGTCATTTGGTCACCCCTCACTGCCCCCCCTGCTGGCCTGGTCACCCCACGCAGCCTGTTCGGTCTGTCCAGTTGTTTTGTTCATGACGGCCCCTGGCTTTTAATATATATGGATTTTGCCCTATAGCAAAGCATATATACATATCAGAGGTCAGGTGTGGTAAATAGTAAAGGACCATCAGGTGGGGGGACTGCCCTCAGCTGTCTGGCACAGGCAGTAACATCTGCAGATCTGCAGCCCTGCTGAAGCCCCAAGGTTCATCAGCCTTCTGATGAACTTCTTGCATAATTATCACCTGCTGGGATTTGCTTCCAGAAATGCGGGGATTAAAGGCACAGATGCCTGCACAGTCGAAGTCTGCGTATAATTTTCGACTCTCCCAAAACTTAACCATAGCTGGCCCTCCGCAACCTCCCGCAACCTCAGATTCAACCAACCATGAATCAAAAACAGTATTTTCAACCCACTGTTGGGAAAACGCAGATTGGGAATACAAAAATACTGTTTTTGATCCATGGGTGTTTGAATCCACAGATGTGAAATCTGTGGATATGAAGGGCTGACTGTATTTATTGAAAAAACCCACATATAAATGAACCTGTGTAGGTCAAATCCATGATGCTCGAGGGTCCGCTGTACTGTGACACGATGGCCACAGTGAGTCCAGTAACACCCGCCACCATGCAGCTACAGTGTTTTCTTATGATGGTAACGTTTGAGAGCTACTCTCTTACCCACCTTCAAGTATACGACACAGTATTCATAGCTACAGCCACCATGCACGCATCACATCCCCAGGACTTAGTTTATACCTGGAAGTTTGGACCCCAGCATTTCTTTTAATGATACTTTTCTGCCTGTGCTTTGCACATAGTAGGTTTGTTTGTTAAATGACGTGGGGCCCAGTACAGCACTTGGGACATAGATGTATCTATATTTCTCAGTGGATTCTGCTAATATCCCCCTTAGCTCTGCCACTGTCAAAACTGAAATATAAGTAACGCCAGGAACTCAGCTAAATAATTTTCTGCACCACAATGCAAGCCCAGTGAACTTTGCATTGGCAACTCCATTCTTTGTATATCTCAAGTATTTTTCACTAAAATATTATTGAACTTGAGAAAAAACGTCCAGCCCGCGGGGGCACTTTGGACTCCAAGTTCACTCTGGGCGTCAGACTTCCGTCTCCTCCGAGCCCACCGCACGGATGGGCGCAGACAGCCCGAGCCTGAGCCCAAAGATAACGTGCTCAGATGTTAATGGCGTCATTTATTAGTCACCGATGTGCTCCAAAGTATTATTTTAGAAACCAAAGCTGCGCAGTCATTTCTCTCCCTGCTGTTTAAAAAATTCGCTCTGGTAATTTCATACCCTGTAGGTTAACCTCTTTCCTCCCGATGAGGTAAGGGGATGGGGGTCCCCTCCACCCTGCCTCCTTCCTGCTGTCACACGCGTCACCCAAGGCCTTGTGGGGAGACAGACACGGTGTGGAAGGCGGTGCCAGCGGGCGGTGAGACTGCAGTGGGGCGG